AATGTCTGGGGACATCTTTTGTAGTCATTTATGGATAAGCATCAAAATACTCATTAATTTCTTTTACATGTGAATATTGTGATAGATTGTATGAACTGGTTTTTTTTCTGCGTTGGAAGTAATTTATTTTTGGCTCAGTTTTTTAGGTGACTGCAGAGTCTTTCACTTATGTTTGTACATTGTCCTCCGAGGGATGTGAAATACATTATTTTAGTTTACTAGCAGAGTCCATAAAACTTCATGAGACTTTGAATTAAGACTTTTATTATGGTTGTTTGTTTTTAAATATCTTTCATATTATAACTTGTCTTTCTCTTTTCTTGAACTCCTTTAATTTACTACTTATGTTCATGTTATGTTATTTGTCTGTTTTGTTTTTCTTAAGTTAGAGATTTGTTGAATTTGTGCTGGTCAGACAAAGTCAAATTGAGCATCAGGAAAGATGTAACCGAGATTATTCAATAAACTGCTCATTTATGATAACTGTATCTCCTGCCTTATGGACTAATAGAACAGTTGACATGACTACACTGTAAAAAATAAGTGTAATTTTAACTAACATTTTGTAAAAACACTACGGAAAAAAACTGTTAATAGGTTAACAGTAAGTTCCTGTACTAATACAGGGAAAAACTAAAATATCTAACCAGACATTTCATGTAATTTTACAGTAAAATGCTGTTAATTTTACAGTTTTTAGAAGTAAAAATAACAGATCAATGTATAATTTACAGTCAAAAACTGTAAACTGATATTCCCAGAATTCCCTGCATGTCACTCCACATTTGAAAGTATTTTGTTTAAATAACTAATAACAAAAACTTTTTAAAAAACATGATTATGTATATTTGGGCTTTATGTTACATCTTCTGTTGTTTAATGAAAGTTTAATGCATTATTTAAGTATCGTGTGTTACCATGATGGTGTTTTGTGTTTGCATGAATGACTCTGTGCACCTTCTATATATTAGCATATACTTCTGCTTGTGGCAAAGCTACTTGTGATGAGCTTTGATTCTTCATGTGGCTTGCTCTTTTACCACCTGCATTATTATGGTGGTTGTCAGTATGTTCAAGGTACAAAACAGATATTAATAGCAGTGTGCATTGTTGAATTTACTGGTTTACAGTCAAATTTTCTTGTTTGTAAATTACAGCCGTAAATGTGTTTACAGTTTTTCTGTATTTTTTACTAAATTATTCTGGCAACCACAGCTGCCAAAATTATTTTGTAAAAACTACAGAATTTTTTTTACAGTGTAGTTTTGGAAAGTTGACAAAATTCAGCGTTAATTGCTTTTCGATGACAGACCAAACTTGGTGTTGCTGGTTTTGTTTTTTTGTTTTTTAAATGCTTGTAGGCTTTTTCTTTCTTTCTTTGGAATTAGATATGCTAAATAAAACACTTACTAAAATTTTTTTATATTTAATTTGTTTACCTGTATGTCATGTGACCATTATCCAACCTCAGAGAACAGTGAACATGCAAAATGTGGTACTTAATTATTAAAATATTTATTTTAAAATCTCAGAGGTACTTCAAGTAAATTCAGAGGTTCAGATGACATGAGTCTGGGAATGCCGGCATTACATGCAAATAAGAAATAGCATGAATTTGTGCATTTCAATGTTTGAAAGTCAAAAGCCTAACAAAGACACAATAAATGGTTAAATAACCTACTAAGTCATAATTCAAATAAAAATGAATGTGTTCATCAGTTGTTGGTGCAATGTTGAAACACAACTTAAACCTGAAATGATTTTTGTAAATCCACTGGTCAAATGCTGTGTATCCCCCGAACTAGTGACTGGTCTTTGTGTGAATGCCCACAAAACTGGAAGACTTTCTGAATGTGTCTGGTATTTTAGAAAGGGACATTCAAAAGATGAAAAAGAGGAATTAGAGAGAATCAATCAATTATGAATCATTTTTTGCTACTGTGTGAGTCATATGTAATCAATAAAAACGGTGGTCTGATTATGAGTAGGCTATTTTCAAATGAAATGTACTAAATTTTTAGAATCTGATTGCATAATCCAGATTACATGCAGTCAGTCACCCAGCTCTCTTATCCGTGTTTAGAAATCCATTAGGTTCAGTCATTGGTCAGCAAGAACTGATCATAATATTAAGAACATAGAATTCACTCCAACGAAAGAAAACCTGGCGAACATGGCAAGGTGTAGATGTGCAGGTCATCCGACAGTGAACAGTATCTTTATTTTTTTTTTGTCTTGAAACTTTGACAAGTTCAAGGCAACAAAATATCTCAGAACACTCAGGGGCAGATTTAATGATTTGGGGGCCCCAGGCAAAATACAGGAATGGGGCCCTATACAATTTCACACATTTACAATCTTGAGGTTTCTTTCACTGTTGCTCGCTGCTGCACGACCGTGTCCCATAGCTGTGTCCAATCTTTTAGGTTTTTCATGTACATGTTATAAATAAAGGATTTCTTTAATGTTGTAAATCCCTTGTTCACATTTAAACAGGTTATAATAGTACTAGAGTAGGTTGGACACTAGGTGGTGCGTTGGGGTAATTTTCACAACGCATGTCTAATTCTAAACTTTAAAATATACATTTATTTTTTATTTATTTTAATTGCACATTTAAATTAAACTAAACATGAAGTGTGCCTGTGTGGAAAGTAACTGTGCATGGTCCTTCTTGAGTCCTTCACAAAAACGAGTGAGCGCCGTTTAAATTTTTTTAAATAGGCCCTATATAATATGCACTGTTGCTTAGTATTAAAGTATAGCTTCAGATGGATATTTGTAGGGTCCTATGAAATCCGTTTTATTTTTCCCAAAATCTTTTTTTCCGTTAAAATTTTTCTGGATTCCGTTTTTTTTTTTTCGTTTTAATTTTTTTCTGGATGATTATATTAAATTTTTTAACAAAAAACATGTCTAATTAATTAAAATAATGAAACTTGTTTAATTTAACAGCAATTTAGGCCTATTAAAAGTTTAACAAAAATTACATTCTTATGGCCCAAATTCTGTGCTTTCCATTTAAATGTTTCTGTATTCCATTTTAATGGTTTAATCAAAAACATATCCAATGAATTGAATTCATGAAAACAACTTAATTTATTAATTTGTATACAATAATAGGGCCCGATAAAATTTAAATTAAAATTTTATTTACTTTTATTTATTTAGAAATTCTGTTGTTGTGTGTTTTCATTTTTCTGGTAATCAAATGAAGGCAAAAACATGACTCTATCTTTTATTCCAATGAAAATTAAACAAACCCTTTAATTTTTGTACATTCAAAATGCTACACAACAGAAGTTTACTGTGTAACGATGTCACGGAATTCGTCAAATATTGAATGAATAAATCAAATGCAATTCAGTGCACTTCAATCAAAACGATATGGACTAGTGTATGTGAATATTAAATGGCAAAAAATGCTATTTAGCTACTACTACTTTAGCTTAAATAGCAAACTAGCAAACAAAACGTTCATTCCGTCACATTCCGCGTTACACAGTAAATTCTGTTTTTATGCATAGATTCCGTCCCCATTTTCTACATCGCCCTACTTTTGCTAAGAAACACGTTCAACGCAGACGCACAGACGGTTGTCGTGAATGAACACCAGAGCAACTACTTGTGCGTCCGCACTGAATGCGCATCTCGCATATAAAAAGCATTTTAGGGGGCCCTTGGCTTTTGGGGGCCCAAGGCGGTCGCCTACCTTTTCCTAATGGTTAAGTCCGCCTCTGAGAACACTGCACGAGCCTCCTGTATGGGATGATATTAGACTCCTTATAATTTCTGTTTTTACAGTAGACGGCGCTGTACACCAGCAGCTTCATATTACAGCGCAGTTGCTGTAGTCTAGTGAATCCGCTCACTAGTTACCGTTCATTATTATCGGCCTAAAACATAGAATCATTACTTCATTATCATCTCCTAATGAATAAACTCCGACCGGACTGATCTGTGGAGATGGGAGTATTAAAGATAAGCGAGCAGGTAAGCGTCAAGAACTGCTTTTCGCGTTAGTTTTCTCAGCAGCATGGAAGGCAGGCTCTCTCTAGTATGTTTCAGTTAGATGTTTAATATACTTCCCTTATACACACAGCCAGAGGAACCCCGTCACTGTAAAACTAGTTATACCCAGACCCGGCTCTGGTTATACCCGTCTCGTATAGTAACCTATTGCGCTGTCTGTGAAAAACCACATGTCGGACATTAGCTGACTTTAGTGGATTGAAATCATTTGCGATATAGGTATGTGTGTATCCCTGCATTGGGGAGAAATGCACATTTTTCAACATTGCAGATATTTTGAGTAGGTTTATTTAAGACTTGTTGTATGTTTACTTGACATTGACACAAATGATAAAATTAACTAAAATGTAACTACTAGTTTTGCCTCTAAAATGGCAAACGCTTGTTTCTTATAGTTTACAAAACATTAGTTTTTGATTCAGTACTTGTAAATGAATAAACAAACAAAAAGAAATGAAACTGACCAAAGGCTTAAAGGATATTTCACCCAAATTTTGCCATCATTTGGCAAACCAGAATTCAGTTCTTCTGCTGAACACAAAAGAAGAGATTTTGAAGAATATGGGTAACAAAACCCCATGGGCTTCAGTAGCATGGAATACAAAATACAAGTTTTGGGGGACCATAAAAAGTTCAAATTTTGACTTCCATTATATTTCATATACTCAAATCCAGGGCAATGTTTAGGCAATGATTTTGAACCAGAATTCCCACCCCTAATACTTTCTTCGCTAAAGTGTTGCTACACTGATCCTGAATCTGTCTTGTCTTCCTCTCTTTTAGTCACTGCTTGTCCAGGCAGTATTTAGCCAGAATGCTGAGATGGTGGAATTTTTGTTGGAGCAAAATGAAGAAGTCAATGAATTGGTACGCGGGTTTTGTCTTGAAGAAATAGTCTTACTTGAAGAAATGTTAAAATTCCTTTAATCCTTTTATTTCTTTGTGAGAAACCGTAAATCCCATAGAAAATGTCTCTTTTAAATTGTAATAGTATTTCACAATACTCTTTTTACTGCATTTGATCAAAGAAATAGTAATTATTCCAAGTGTATAAGTGATTGAAGTTCATTTTAAACTAAACATTCATTGTAGAATATTTTGGGTCACACTTTATTTTAAATGCCCAGTTCTCACCATTAACTTAACGATTAACAATGATATTTGCATCAATAAACTCCTAATTTACTGCTTATTAATAGTTCATAAGGTAGTTGTTAAGTTTAGGTATTGGGTAGGATTAGGAATGTAGAATATGGTAATGCAGAATATGGGCTTTAGAAGTACTAATAAACAGCCAATATGTTAATAATAAGAAACTAGTTAATAGCCAGAATTGGGCCTTATACTAAAGTGTTAGAATATTTAGTCTTTAACACTGTATTTTGTCTTTGATTGCCTGTGATGTTGTGGTCTCAGGTGCTGATGTTAATGCTAAAGACCAGGAGTGGCTGACTCCTCTGCATCGAGCAGCTGCCTCACAGAATGAAGTAAGAGAGGATTTTAAAAAATCATTTTGCTGTTTATTGTGTCTTTGCCTCTCATTTTGTATTACTTTAAATGCAGGGGTCTGTTGTGCTGCTGTTGAGAAAGGGTGCCGAGGTGAACGCGCAGGACAGGTTCTGTCAGACGGCACTGCATGTAGCTGCAGCCAACAGAGCGATGAAGTGTGTCGATACTCTGATTCCTTACGTGAGCAGTCTGAATGCAGCAGATCGCTTCGGGAGAACCGCTTTACATCACGCAGTCCACAGTGGACATGCAGAGGTTTGGCAAGAGTGGACATTTCATAGAGAATTTATCCGAAACACTTTATTCCTGTTGAGGTGTGCATGTTAAGAAAGAAGTAAAAAATAAATTGTCTTGAAGACTAATTAATAATGTTCTTAGACAGTGACCCTGCTCCTAAATAAAGGGGCCACCGTGAGTGCCAGAGACATAAAGGACAGGCAGCCTATCCATTTGGCTGCTCATCTAGGTATCTGGTCCTCTGACTCTGAATTCCTGCCTCAAATAATACGTTTATTATATTAGACCCTGGAGCACAAAACCAGTCATAAGTAGCAGGGGTATCTTTGTAGCAATAGCCAATAATACATTGTATCGGTCAAAATGCTAGATTTTTTTTTAATGCCAAAAATCACGAGGGTATTAATTAAAGATCATGTTCCGTGAAGATATTTTGTAAATTTCCTGCCGTAAATATATCACAACCTAATGTTTGATTAGTAATATGCATTGCTAAGGACTTTATTTGGACAACTTTAAAGGTGATTTTCTCAATATTTAGATTTTTCTGCACCCTCCGATTCCAGATTTTCTTGGGAATCTCGGCCATACTATTGTCTCATCCTAACAAACCATACATCAATGGAAAGCTTATTTATGTATAATGTATAAATCTCAATAATAATAAAAAAAAGACACTTATGACAGGTTTTGTGGTCCAGAGTCACATATAGACGTCTAATCAGAATATGTTTAATTTCACTAGTGTGTTATCTGGTTGTGTCTGGTGTTCAGGGCATCTGGAGGTCGTCAGGCTCTTAGTGGCGTGCAGTGCTGATGTGTCCTGCAGGGACAAGCAGGGGTTTACTCCTCTACATGCGGCTGCTCTTGGTGGACACACTGAAGTGGTCAAGTACCTGCTGAAACATGGAGCAGAGGTGAGGGATCATATATTAGTGCTAGATCTCTGTTTCCTGCTTGTTTATGTGTCATGTTTTCATTGGGTCATTGTCTTGTCACATGGGCACCAATCCCCAAATGGCTGAGCACCCACAGAAAAATACTAGTTCTGTCATGACAACTCTTGGAGTAATGGTAATGTACATGACAATGTTGATGTGTTTGGTCTTGGTGGAATAGATCTGCTGTGCTACTGCTGCGGCAGAACGAGTACCGAGACTTGCTACTGCCAATACATCCACAAAATGCTGCTGTGAGCATGTAAGAAATACTGCTGCTGCAAATATAACACGCATGAAATAACCCCCATATAGCATACATGAATCACCTCGTAGCAGATCTATACAGGTGGAGCTGGGGAAGGTGGAGGGTTTCTGAAGCAAGCTGCAACTGCTAAGGCAAGCATCAGTCATATATTTGAATGTTGAGCAGCGAGCTCATTGGCTACCAATACAAGAGAGAACCAATCAGCTGTGCCATGTGATAATGATGTCATTAGGTCAGATTGAGTTAGACCTATCGGACTGTGCCATCTAGAGTTTCATGCCAGAACTCTGTATATGTTCTCCGTTAACTTTAAGCCATTGAAAAATCTATTAAGATTCAGGAAACTCCCTGTGGACTTTATTTGGAAAACAGAAGCATGTTGAATGGACTCTTTTGTGAATCTTCAGTTTCAACAGCTCTGATAAGTGATAAACAACTTGATATATGGCTGGCCAATGTTAAAACACACAAAAAACACTTTATTTAAATCCGCAAGGTGTCCATTACGTATTTTTCCTGTTTGGTAATGTCACGACTGCCAAATATCTGACGACTTGACACTTTGTCATTTATTTGCAGTCCATTTTTTCTCTTCGCAACACACAAATAACTTGAATCATAAGCGGAGGGTAGCCCAATATCTGTTAACTACGTGCATCATAAACTATGATAGTCTTTTACCAGATATGTACCATAGTACCAGATATGTGTGTCATGTCATAAAATTATTTTATTACGACTGAATTTAACATGATCACAAATTTAATAAAAACATTGTACGTTACTAAAAATAATGTGGTTTAATTTCCACGGTTATTCAAACAGCGAGAAAATTATGATGACTAATCTGGACGCCTCTGATTGGCCATTGCATTCATAAGCTCAGCAGAATCGTGTGTGATTGGTTATAATGCTTAATGCTGTAAAAAAAATGTGTAAAAAGAAATCTAATGCAACAAGAGCTGATCTAAACTTAATGCTGCAGTGGCCACTTTTCATTTCATTTTCACTTTATTTGTGACAGCCGTTATAGATTTAATTGAATGGTGAATGAGCATTTTTGTCCCAAATGGTTGCACCCACCAGCAGAAACATAAATGGGCGCCTATGTCTTGTTATGTGGTTATCAGTTCTGTTTTGCTAGCGGTTATTCTGAGTCCCATTGTTTTGTATTTAAGCCCTTTTGTTTGCCATGTTGGGTGTCATGTATTAAAGTAGCACCAGGTCATTGTTTATAGTCAAGTTCATAGTTCACGTTTATGTTTTTTATGTCAGGATCAAGTTAGCACTTGGGTTTTCTCCAGCATCATCCTCATCTGCTTGTTTGTCAGCAATGTTACATAATGTCCGAAGGCATTCTGAAATATTTCTACTGGTACTTGATTACTTAAATATTTACAATTATGGCTTTTTCATTAAAATTATATATTTATAATTATATTTTTCCATTTAAAATTATATTTATATTTTCAATGCTTTTAACTTCCATACTGTGTAGTCTTTCAGACTGGTTTATTCAGAGTGGGGGAGGACAATGTTAGGCTGTGATATTATTGGTTAGTTTCGTTACCTGGCCTGCCCATGTAGTCTTAATTACATCCCTGGTAAAGAAAGTTGTTTCAGAGGCAGAGAAAGTTATTACATTGGAAATAAATATTATTCCAGGGGGTCACATCATGAGAAATCAATTCTTAAAGGGATAGTCAAATATCGTGTCATCATTCACTTACGCTCATGTTGTTCCTAACCTGCACTACTATTTTCACCAGATTGGAAAAGAAGAATGTGAACAGTTTTATCAATCAGCGAGTTCCAATGTTCTGTTCTACTGAAGAAGAAGAAAAAAACATTCTTTTGTAAGAAGAAAGAAATGTATACAGGTTTGGAATGACGTGAGGGTGAGTCAATGATGATAGTTTCATTTTTGGGTGAGCTATGGCTTTAAGGTTTTGAAAGAACAAGGAGTTACTTGTAAAAACTAATTGCATTTTTAAAGGGTCATATGATGGAACATTTGGGCGGCGTTATGCAAATCTTCCCACATAGTGAGGTAGATATGTGGGGGCGTGTTTGAACGAGCCGTTTTAGGTAGGTGTGGCTGACTCTGAACTTTTATAAAGAATATCTCTTTGGTTCTGAGACTTTAGTCTTTGCAACTTTACAGATCTTCTTTATGCACCAAGAGCTTGTAACACGCCAAAGAGAAAGGAAAAAATGAAATCGCATCATATGACCCCTTTAAAACCAATGTGCCCTCATGAATTGTGCACCAGAGACAGAATCCATTATGATTTTTGTTTTGTCTTTCATTTTGTCTGTTAGATTGATGAAGCAGATGGCTCTGGTAACAGTGCTCTCCACATGGTTTGTTACGCTGGGCAAAGGGCTGTAGCTAGTGAGCTGGTTAACTGTGGTGCCAGTGTTAACCGGTCAAACGTGCGTGGATGCACGCCGCTGCACCTGTCTGCTGCCTCCGCTGATGGAGCCCTGTGTCTGGAGCTGCTGGTCAATAACGGGGCAAATGTTCACATTCCGGTCAGTAGACAACTCGAAATGAACAGGTGATTATTGCAGTGTTTTTCTCTGACCTTTCTTGTTTTGATTTCAGAATAAAGCCGGGAAGAGTCCTTTGCATGTGGTTGCCATTCACGGACACTTCACCCGTTCCCAGATACTCCTTCAAAATGGTAAAGCCACGCTCAAAGCAAAAATGTCAAGAGCTTAATACAAGTTAGACCAGATTTTACAGCAGTATTTTCCTGTTGAGTTACTGTGAAACAAAGTACACTGTAAAAAGCTCTGTACGATTAGAAATGACTTTACTTGACTCACTGGTGGACTAGCATAGCAATTGTAATTGTAAAGGGTTACTTCATATTGTTAACTCACATTAACTAAACATTCTTATACTGTCACCAATGACACCGTGACTGCACTGCAGTACCATCACATTTGTAAACATAACGTATGTTAGGAACTCACCTGTCTGATGAACTCTCTGTTAAAGGCATTGCCAATCTTGTAATAACAGTCTTTTATTTTTTTCTCTTGCAGGTGCAGAGGTGGAGTGTGTTGATATATATGGTAATACTCCTCTTCACTCTGCTGCTAAACATGGTCATGAGTTGCTCATCACTACACTCTTGAATAACGGTGCGGATGTGGCCAGGTGTGTCTTTACAAAAGCATTCAAACACAGAGACTACTGCAGCAAAACAGACACTTCAGAGTTTGTGTCCACTTCCATTTATTGTAGTTTGCATGTATGTGGATTCACGCAGTTTAGTCGGGCTTAGTCAGTATTTAATATGTTAAATTATGTTAAATCAGTATGTTAAATTAAAAATATTATGTTGCTATATTTTTATAGAATGAGCCTTGGAATGAATTGAAAGTAATTATTGGCTACAGATCTAATGTGACGGTTTCAGTCATGACATATCTTCAGTTTCTCTTGAGAATATGTTTAAAAAATACAAATAACTGTCCATCTTATAGGCGAGGCATTAATGGCATGACTCCATTGCACTTGGCGGTGTTTTACGGATTTTCAGACTGTTGTCAAAAGTTACTCTCCTCAGGTAAAAATCATATACATATGGCAGATGCTTATATCCAAAATGATGTACAATGCATAAGCACTATCCCATTGCTTTGACATTAAACCAGATATATGTCACCCGTCTAAAAGTGTATGTTTGTCTAACAAACATTTACTCTTGGCAGGGTTTGATATAAACACCGTGGACAGCCTGGGAAGGACATGTTTGCATGTAGCTGCTTCAGGCGGGTATGCTAAATGTCTACCACTTATGTGCTTATAGTTTGTAAGTTATATATTTTTTAAATATACAATTTAGTTATTCATCCTTTCTTTTTCAATTTGTTCACTGACAGAAATGTTGAATGTCTTAAATTGCTGTTAAACAGTGGTGCTGCTTTGAATAAAAAGGACAATTTTGGAAGGTAAAGTCTTTATTAATCAATAAAATGTATATATATAGTTATATATTCACAGTGTGAGTCTTGTGCACATAAGATTATTAATGTGTCTAATATGCTTTAATACAAACTAGTGCTGTCATTAATCGCGATTAATCGCATCCGAAATAAAAGTTTTTGTTTACGTAATATATGTGAGTGTACTGTGTATAAATACACACACACACACACACACACACTGTATATATTTAGAAAATATTGACATGTATATATTTATATTCATATAATTTATATTGTATGTAAATATATTTAATATATAAACCTAACATATTTTTCTTGAATATATTCATGCATGTGTGACTATTTATATATATATATATATATATATATATATATATATATATATATGTGTATATGTGTGTGTGTATATATATATATATATATATATATATATATATATATATATATATATGCGTAATAAATATACACAGTACACACATATTATGTAAACTGACTTTTATTTTGGATGCGATTAATCGCGATTAATCATTTGACAGCACTAATACAAAGTGATATATATAAAATGGACAGTGTCATAAAGCTACTCACATTGGCTTAGTGACCTAGAGAGAGTGCAAAATCTTTCATTTAATTCTTCACAGGTCTCCTTTGCACTACACATCCGTGAACGGCTCATATCTGTGTACAGTGGCTCTGGTGAAAGCTGGAGCTGATGTTAATGAACTGGATGTGAATGGATGCAGTCCACTGCACTACGCAGCTGCTGCCCAAACCTCACACAGGTATAACACTTATAACACTGCCCTGCGTACAGCTGATTCGGAAAGTATTCAGACCCCTGCGTTTTTCCACACTTTGTTCTGTCAGCCCTATGCTGTAATGCTTCATCACATCGGTACAAACTCCATAGCCTATAATGACAGAGCAGACTTGTGAGAACTTTGAATATGTGCTAAAAATAAGTACATTTTTAAATTTGTCACCTGTCTTTTCTTAATGTTGATCCTCTCTGCTTTTTATTACCGTCTAGTCTTTTGTTTCTTTACAAGATTATTTTTGGCTGACTAAGTCCAGGCTAGTCTTGTCCTGCCCAGTCCTGTTCAGCTCTGTTGCCATTCTCTGTCCATCTGCCCTGTGCCCACTGCTCTCTAATTTTCCTCTGGCCTTGGTGGTTATAGACATGTGCATGTGCCCAGATACTGCAGTCCCTCTGCGATTTCACTCTGGTAGCTCTCTTAGTCATACTGACCCTTCATTTTGGTCCTCGACTCACCTGCTCTTTTGTTCAATAAACACAGGACTGTGGCCGAAGTGAAGTGGGTAGAATCAGTGGGCTATTTTATTTGGGTGTTTTGACATTGTCCATGTCTAATCAAAAATTTAAATACTGTCATTATTTATAAACCTATGTGTTTTATGTGTGGAAGGAAAACTCTCAATGAAAGTACTGGTCAGCCTTATTCTGTCAAATTAGAATGAATACAATGCATAAATAGTCCATACAATGAATTCACTGTATTTCAGGTCTTCAGAAGCCATAGGAAAAGATTTGTGTGAGGAACAGACTAAAATGTTACTTATTTTCTGAAAACCTTGACATCCACCGTTAACGATTTAATGTGAGATGTATATACCAATACAAATTCATATTTATACTTGCTGAATGTGGAGGTCTTGGACTGGTGTGGTTACATGTGGTCTGCGGTTGTGAGGCCGGTTGGATGTACTGCCAAATTCTCTGAAACGACTTTGGAGACGGCTTATGGTAGAGAAATGAACATTCAATTCACGGGCAACAGCTCTGGTGGACATTCCTGCAGTCAGCATGCCAATTGCATGCTCCCTCAAAACTTGCGACATCTGTGGCATTGTGCTGTGTGATAAAACTGCACATTTTAGAGTGGCCTTTTATTGTGGCCAGCCTAAGGCACACCTGTGCAATAATCATGCTGTCTAATCAGCATCTTGATATGCCACACGTGTGAGGTGGATGGATTATCTCGGCAAAGAAGAAGTGCTCACTAACACAGATTTAGACAGATTTCTGAACAATATTTGAGAGAAATAGGCCTTTTGTGTACATAGAAAAAGTCTTAGATCTTTGAGTTCAGCTCATGAAAAATGGGGGCAAAAACAAAAGTGTTGCGTTTATAATTTTGTTAAGTGTATTTATTCAACTCATTTCAAATATGACTTACCTTTGTGTATATTTTTCCCCCAATAGAGTTGAACAGAACTGTCCTGACAGTGAGACTGATGAAGAAGCTCAGTGGTAAAGCATCTTTTGGGATTTGAAAATAAAATGACTAACTGTTAATAAGCTTAATAGTACATGACCCCTTATGTGTTACATGTTCTTACAGGTGTTTGGAGTTTCTTTTGCGTAGTAGTGCTGATCCAACACTGCGTGACAGTAAAGGCTTCAGTCCAGTCCACTACGCAGCTGCCTGTGGTGACAGACACAACCTAAAATTGGTAAGAAAACGATTTTCATGGTATACCATGTATTATGTGAATTATGGGACATGTGAGTAGAATTTTGTGTGGCTTTTAGTTCGATATGTAATTTGATGTTCTCACACCTGCCAGTTCTGTCTATTGGAAAAAACTGAATCATATTACTCCTATAAGAAGTCCAGCATACATAATATCTGAGATTTTGATAAAAAAAAGAAAAAACTGTATGCATGGATGAATTGTTCACAGTAGAAATCAGCAAAATGCAATTAGAAAATACATATTAATGTCCATTGCCAAAAAATGCAAATGGGAGTGAAAAATTCTGCAGGTGATCTACGGACATAGTGCAAATTAAAGGACACAGATAAAGCCTGATCATTTCCATAACGATCAACGAAATCATTGGAAATCATTCAGAAATGCATAATATTGTAGGGTTACAGCAGAACTGATGATAAACAGGTGCGTGTTTTTTTACTAATAACACAGGCGCATAATAGGTCATGACTTGTTTTTTGGGGTGTTCAATAATTTTGCACATACCAGTAAATTGACTACTACAAACCTTAGTAAATCACAGTGCATGACTCATTTAAATACTCTCCTCCCATACATTTTGTGTCTGAAGGGGAAACATCTACAAATGCATATGCTATAAGGACAGCAAAAAAAAAGCCTTTTCATCACTATTTCTTTCACTGTATTCTTTAAATGCTGACAGTAGTATTTTAATACCAAAAGAGGATTTACGCTGGTGCAAGCTATTTACTAAAAATCATTTTAGTGTTGTAAACAAGTAAACAAGTATTGTTTTTTGAATACAAAAAGAATTGAGACACATTGTTATTGTTAAACATTAATGAAACATGGAACATGCCCATAATTAATGTGAAGGTAAACTATGTGGTTACTCTGCTACTCTGTGGTTACCCTTGAGGAGAACTGAGTAGCTTGGCTTGGTTTACCAAAGTTATGTCTGAGAAAATCTCTTTGGGCATCATTTTTGTTTGCTGATGCCACTTTCTTTGGTATTTTGTAATCTAAAGCACTGGCTGGCACACATTGTCAACTAGGCAAATGCTTTATGAGAAACGTTTGTGCTCTTGTACTGTATGTCACTTTGAGTGAACTGGCAATAAACATTTCTTATTAGCTCATAGAAATGTCTTTCAAATGTGTGGAAGATGTGGAGAGTTGTGTTCCTGTGAGCCCTTTTCACTTAGCGGTGAGTACTCCGTCTCTAGTCAATCTCTTTTCTCTCTTTTTCTCTGATGCAGTTGTCATTACAAATAGAATGTGAATTTAAGTAGAATTAAAATGCATTGAAATTCATGGAACTGCTGCAAATGTATTTTTTGTTAACTAGAAAAGGGAAATTCACAAAGACAAACTTTGAGCCTTGCTTGAAACATAAAAAATAAGCCATTGCCAGTAAATCCAGTAAATTCAACATCCTGTGTGGAAAAGCCAATTCTATTCAAATTACTCATGAATTGATAGTAAAAGAAGATATGAATGATGATAAATTGTTTATATCAGGCGTATAATGGTCACAGTGAAGCTCTTCAGGTGTTGTCCGAAACACTGGTTAATGTAGACATACAGGATCCCAGGGGTCATACAGCTCTGTATATGGCTGCTCTGAGAGGTCACAGCCCCTGTGTGGAGCTGCTGCTGCTTCAAGGGGCCTCGTATGCCATCAGGGAGCACATCCACAGATGGACACCACTACATGCTTCAGGTGTGTAAAGATATTAACATGTAAAGGAACAAATGACTGAGTGTAATGACTGAGAAGTTAGTTCAAAGGTTCAATCAGTAAAGGCACTCTACTAATATAGCATAATAATATTATACATTTGTTCTATATTTTGTGCTATAGTCTTACCAAGGCTCTTGTGTGTTATCGGGAATGAGGTACTGTGTAATTGAAACTAGTTTTCAAAACTTTTTTTAATAATTGGTTGTGACAGTCAAGTCAAATGTTTGGTTTGTTAAAGCTCAGTTAGACATACATCATTACAGAGCTGTGGGAGGGCCAAACTATGAATTGGTACAAGAGACTGTAGATCACATTTTTAACGTTATTTAACCCATTGATTTATCCTCATAGCTGCCAGTGGTCAAACTGACTGCCTGCTCATGATGTTGCAAAGAGATGGAAAAAATGACATATTTGACCTCATGGACATACATGGACAGTAAGTGCCATTTCAACATTCATTTCAGTGATATAGCATGACAATATAGCATGATCATACACTGCATTTAGAAAATTACGAAATTAAGCAGAACATCACAGAAAGTGAAGAGGGAAGTCGACTTACAAGTCAGTGAGCTCCACCTCAGTACTGCTTTAAAGTGGACATCAGATGCCCATTTTCCACAAGTTGGTATGATTCTTTAGGGTCTTCATGAAAAGTCTATAACATACTTTGGTTAAAATTTCTCAATGGTAGTGTAAAACAACACCCTTTTACCCTGTCAAAACAGCTCCGTTCACAGCGACTTGTTTCGGTGCATGTCTCTTTAAATGCTAATGAGCTCTGCTCACCCCGCCCCAACTTTAGTCGTGGAACTGGCTAACTAGCACATTATTAGGAAAGGCGATTTGCAAAGATTCGTAAAAAAACCCTTATATTCACTTCTTCTGTAGGTGAAGCTAGGTTACGAATGATTTGTGCGAACATAAATGCATTTATGTAGAGCGGGAGGCGCATTCCCTTCAGAAGCAAACATAATCCACTGCGTCTTCTCAGACACATACGCATTTTACTCAGATGTCGAGAATAAATGACGACTGCTACGTAATATAACATAACCAGAGTAAACAGCATAGTATAGACTCTATACTATAGAGTGATGGCTGCATTTGTGCAATCCAATCATTAAAACATAATAAAATGATCATACGTGCCATTTTCCCAGGACACGTCCTGGCCAGGATTTCTATATTGCCTAAAATATCTAGGTTTTGGCTTTGTTTGCGTGTGCAGACCAATCGGTGTATGACATCAAAATACCTCGAGAGCATTTTGAAAGCATAAGGAACCGTCTGTATGATATTTTGATGTCATACACACCGATCGGTCTGCACACGCAAACAAAGTCAAAACCTAGATATTTTAGGCAATATAGAAATCCTGGCCAGGACGCGTCCTGGGAAAATGGCACGTATGGTCACCCTATAATAAAACTTTATGATAGGTGTCTAAATCAGTCTTTTGCCAAAAATAGTATTTAATAAAAAATAAATTACTTTGTGAACTTTGAATGTCACGATGAATTTCAAATATTTCCGTTACCCCATCAATTGCATTTTGCACTGAATATAACCAAAAAAAAAAAAAAGAAGTACTACCAGCAGCTGACCAAACTACAAATATTTTTGTTGTCTTTGCACCACAGCTCAAGGTTTCTCACCTCCTCTCTGTATTCTGTTGTGTGTAATAAGGCCCACTGTTGTGTCATCAGCAAACTTGATAATGTGGTTTTTCTGATACTGGCCAACACAGTCATGAATGAGTAACATGAACATTAAGGTGCTGAGAACACAGGCCTCATTTCAGACTCATTTCTGTTAGTCAGGAAGTCCAGGATCCAGTTGCAGAGTGAGCTTAATTCAATAAACAGCATTCTGACTCTGTGTCTGAGAGGATGTGACATATGGTATTTGCAGTTGTGTTTGAAGGCAAACTGTAAAAGGTCCAGTATGGGTGGGATGATGGTCTTGATGTGAGTCATGACTAGCCGCTCGAAGCATTTCATGGCAATTGGTGTGAGTGCAGTAGTAGTCATAAAGGCAGGTTATTGATTATTTCTATGGCATGGGGTGATGGTGGCAGTTTTGAAGCATGCTGGGACAACAGGCTGTACTAGCGAATACTGTAGTTAAAAGATACATCAATCAGCTAGATCAAGCATTCTTTCAGCACTCAGGCAGGGATGCCATTTGGCCCTGCAGCCTTGCGTGGGTTAATTCTTTGCAGAGTCCTATTTACTTCAGCTGATGTAAGCACCTGGGGTCTCATTTATAAAACTCTCCATAGATTTCATCCTAAAAGTGTACGTAGGCACAAAAGCTAGATTTTGCGTACGCTCAAAAATGTTCAGATTTATAAATCCACGCATACGCCAGAACCTGCGCAAAAATCCCCTTATAAATCCCAGTCAGGGGAAGATTGTGCGTATGTGCATCTCCACCCCGACTCCTCTCCGAAATCACCATATATGGAGCTTACAACGATAAATTTGACTATGCATAGCCTCATCTGCATATAATTTCTATGCATATTCCCATCCACGTGACACCATGTTTAGCACCATCAAAGGTACAAGACATTAAGGAAATATGAGATTCAAGCATTCTTTCAGCACTCAGGCAGGGATGCCATTTGGCCCTGCAGCCTTGCGTGGGTTAATTCTTTGCAGAGTCCTATTTACTTCAGCTGATGTAAGCACCTGGGGTCTCATTTATAAAACTCTCCATAGATTTCATCCTAAAAGTGTACGTAGGCACAAAAGCTAGATTTTGCGTACGCTCAAAAATGTTCAGATTTATAAATCCACGCATACGCCAGAACCTGCGCAAAAATCCCCTTATAAATCCCAGTCAGGGGAAGATTGTGCGTATGTGCATCTCCACCCCGACTCCGCTCCGAAATCACCATATATGGAGCTTACAACGATAAATTTGACTATGCATAGCCTCATCTGCATATAATTTCTATGCATATTCCCATCCACGTGACACCATGTTTAGCACCATCAAAGGTACAAGACATTAAGGAAATATGAGATACGGACTATAAATGCCATTTGTGCCATACACATTCATTTTTATTGCTAAAAATCATCCGGTATCCTTGTTATATGTTTTAGACTAAATATATCAAAATATTCATAAAAAAGCTGTTTAAAATAGTTCTCAGAAAAATAATTTAGAATAGAGTTGATCTCATTCATTTCCACTGGCCCAATAATATTTCAATTGTTTTAAAAAATTCAAATTAAATTAAATTAATGCAGTTTTGCTGATAAGGTGAAGATCTTTTAGCCATTTTTAGTGTAAAAAATATAGGCCTATATTTATTGCAGTGTAAATACAATTATCTGACTCTGCGCGTCATTGACAAATTATTTTAAAAAGGAAACATGCAAATCTTACCGTTTTCTTCAAGTTGTATCCTTCAAATACAGTGGTATTTTTCATAATGTTGTGGAGATGCCTCCGGTATCCTTATGTTTTAGAATAAATATATCAAAATATCCATAAAAAAGCTGTTTAAAATAGTTCTCAGAATAATAATTTAGAATAGAGTTGATCTCATTCATTTCCACTGGCCCAATAATATTTCAATTGTTTTAAAAATTCAAATTTAAATTAAATTAATGCAGTTTTGCTGATAAGGTGAAGATCTTTTAGCCATTTTTAGTGTAAAAAATATAGGCCTATATTTATTGCAGTGTAAATACAATTATCTGACTCTGCGCGTCATTGACAAATTATTTTAAAAAGGAAACATGCAAATCTTACCGTTTTCTTCAAGTTGTATCCTTCAAATACAGTGGTATTTTTCATAATGTTGTGGAGATGCCTTCACACGACATCAACACCTCCGTGCAGCTGTGGTTGTACAGTAAGCTATCATCATTGGTCCTATTCAAACCAGACAATAGACCGTTCCACCGAATCCAGCAGTGTCCGCCACAATATCGAAGTAAGTGTCACTGATCATTGTTCTCGCTAAAAATATTTTCTCATAACATGAGATGTGCAGTTTACTTTAAAGATTAATTATTGTGCACCTATAGCACTCCTCGCTGTCATTAAAACGTAACATACCACAGGAAAAGTAATCAAGCGCATTCACTACAAATAGGCTATGTCTAAATTCATATAATGGTGTTTTAACTTCTGCGTAATGACTTTATGTAATTTCAGTGTTTATCTCCATTAATAAGAGTGGAATGTTTAATGTAAATGTATATGATGAAATGAAAACAGTTTAAAATCGTTGTTTACTTCATTACTTTTCTTTCTCCAGGAAAAAAAGTCAGTACGCATGGGTCAGAGCGTGCAGGTGCGCACATTTTCCCGTCAAGTTTGTTTTTTATAAATCTCACCTTTTGCGTAGGAAGTGGCGTACGCCTCTTTCAGGGCAGGTTTTGTGTTCGTACGCAATGGTTATGAATGAGGCCCCTGGCCATCTGCTGGTGGGTTGATTTCCATGACTAGGGTGCTGTTAGAGTCCTCAAAACATGCAAAAAAAGTTGTTCTGTGCAGTAAAAGCAGCACTGCTGTCTGTACCTTTAGTCCTTTCCACACGCGCTGAGGGTCTCCAAGTGTTCCTGGGTCCTAGGTGTATGACAGCTACTGTAGGCTCTATTTATCCCAGCATCTCTGAGCATGCTGTACATGATTGTCTCCTGCTGTGCCTTGTGGGGACAGTAACATGGTAGAACTTAGGTCAAATCTTGAGGCTCCTAAGGGAAGTTGTGGCCTAATGGTAAGAGAGCCGGTTTTGTAACCCAGAGGTCGCAGTTTCGAGTCTCAGTACTGCCAAGAAATGTAGGTGGGTGGACTGAATGACCAGTGCTATCTTCAACCCTCATTACCCACAACTGAGGTGCCTTTGAGCAAGACACCGAACCCCCAGTTGTTCCTTGGGTGCCGCTGCAAAAATGGCAGGGCACAAATTAGGAATGCAGGTATGTCTGTTATAGCATCTTGCCACAGTTCTTCTGGATTTAGACTTCTGTCTCAGTTTGTTCTGTTTCTTCATGTCATTCCAGACAGACTGGATGATGATCAGATCAGATCTCTGTGTGGCGCACTGGCTGTTGTCAGACAAAAATCTAACTTAAAAAAAAAAAAAGAATGATTATTACAATGAATGGCAAAATGAATGTTTAGAAATGTAAACTGATATTTCCTACTGACACATTACAGCAAAAGATAGAAATAACCAACTTAAAACCATTTTTATCTGCTGAAAATACTAGTGTTCTAATAATTTTGGCCACCACTGTATATATATATATATATATTTATATACATATTCAAGTGTTTCAACCACACCCATTGCCACAGGTAAAATCAAGCACCTAGCCATGCAGTCTGGATTTACAACCATGTGAATAAAATGGTTCATTTGGAAGAGCTCAGTGAATTCAGGCATGGTACTGTGATAGGATTTCACCTTTGCAAGATGTCAGTTTGTGAAATGTAATCCTTGCCAGATTTTCCACAGTCTGTAAGTGGTATTATTGGAAAGTGGAAGCATTTAAGAACAACATCAACTCAGCCATGAAGCAGAAGACCAGGTAAAGTCACAGAGCGGGATCACAGAGTGCTGAGGCATATGGTGCGTAAAAATCCCCAATGCTGTGCAGATTTCATAGCTTCCAGACTTCCACTGGCAAAAGCTGTCTGCCGGGAGCTTCATGGAATGGCTTTCCGTGGCCGAGCAGCTGCATGCAAGCCTCACATATACAATGCCAAGCATTCAAACCTGCAGATTCAAGTCTTTTTCCTATTTGATGACAAAGCTCAACGTTCAGTATTATGCTGTGAGAAACCATTAAAATATTGTTTCACCCATTTTTCTCTCTTTGTTCCTTTTTTGAATTGTTTGAAGTATTGCTATTGTAAGCATAGTTTGATGGTATCTGTAGGACTCCATTGATGTTGGCTACACTGGGCAGTCACATTGACTGTGTCCACATGCTGCTTGAGAGAGGAAGTAATCCAGACACTGGAGACAGAAGAAGCCGCGCTGCGTTACATCACGCAGTAAGTTTATGTTTTGCACGTACAGTACATATGCATGTGTTTGGTTTGTGTATCTGAATATTTGCACATTATTGTGCTGGAATTTGGCAATATTGTAAGGAAATTTAAGGTGTGTTGGCAGCACTGAATACACCTGGGTCTGCAAAAGGGCATCATATTCTTTGGTCTTTAAACTGTACAACCCCAGAGTTCAGTCATTGCAACTAACTAATCCTACGAGATATCCATTTCATTTTAACAGCCCTTCTATGATTCACATTTGGCAACACTGTGAATTGGAATCATCTCCAAACTTAACTGAGGACACTTGGATTTAAATGTGGGAAAGATGTCAGCAGATCTAAGCTCTGTAGTGAGGACAGGTCGACACATGTGGCCTAATTATAGGAATCATGGGCTGTGCAAAGAGTTTAAAGGGGGTTTGTGAAAAACACTGGCCTGTGTTTTCTGTGATCAAATCACGATTTAATCTCATCTGACCACATATCACAGCTACAAAAGTCATATGTAATAGTTTGCTCTCGCAATGTGAAATATCCAATTATTTCTCACGTTATTTATCTGTTTTGAGAGATTCTTGTTCCCCTCATTTCTTTTCCCACAGAGAGCAACTTCTTTGAATTCCTAAATAATATATGAGATCAACAAAATCTTTGCTCCACTAAAATGTGTTTTGCCTTGTTGCTTGTATTCAGTTATTTTTAGCTTATTTCATTCAATTGGTTGGTGGAAAAATACAGTTCTAGGGTTTTGCATGACATGCGTATCAAGAACAGGTAGTTTGTTATTTCTGTGTAACCTACAGTGCCATACTGTTCATACATAGGAAGTAGGTTAGATTAAATTCAACTACAGGATCAACAGGGCATATTTTTTCACAATCAGTGACATGCCACAGTAGGACCATGGCTCAACTAGCCTCACTGACTCCACAAACTATTATAGGAGTGCTTTGCAACTACTAAATGAACTGAAGACAAAAATAGGTCTACTGACCTCTGTAAATAGACTGGATTTACAAGCCACTTTCCAATCAGTGATGACAGCTGAAACATTCATTCATATTCACTGTCATTACGGTTGAGTAACCAACCAAAGTTAGAAGCAGCTTTATAATAAAATGAGACGCAGTGGTGTATAAAGTATCTGAAAGCCATACTCAAGTAAAAGTACAGATATCTTACCAGAAAATGACTTTGGTAGTAGTTGAAGTCACCGTTTAGAATATTACTTGAGTAAAAGTCTTAAAAAGTATGTGATATTTATTTTACTTAAGTACGAAAAGCATTTTTAAAATCTTAAACGTACTTAAAAGTACAAGTAAAGGCAAATAAATATATATAAAATGTTCATACACAGCTTGAGTAGCAAGATTGTGTTCAGTTTTAACTTTTTTTTCCATTTTGTATTTTTGGGTAAGCATGCACTTCATCCAGTACTTAGTGTATTTCATTCCAACATAAGAAAACATTTCTGGAATCTGCATCTGAAATAGCATTTAGCCTACAGTTTATGTATCTCAGAGGGGACATGGATGCATTTAAACTGCAGTTACAGATGCATAAATAGTTTTTTTTTTTTTACATAAAACAGGGGCATAGAGAACCTACAATAATGTACAGTATTTGAAAAATAATACACAAATACCAAATACACAAAATAATGATCTTTAAAATAGCATCATATGACCCTTTGAAAATATGAAAAAATTGTCAAAATGTGAAATAAAAACCACCAGTAGGTGGCAGCATGTGACTGTTAATGAGATTCAACCGATTCATTCAAACGACTGATTCATTCAGGAACAAAGCATTTGACTATGTTAATGAGTGAATCACTGAATCATTTATTCAACCGATTCGTTCAAAAAGCTGATTCATTCAATAAGCAAACACCATCCATTGCTCAGAGCCGCAAAACAGTGCTGTGATCTTTGTTTGGAACTATTTTCGTTGGCAAAATTGAGCTAAAACAAGCAATATTACCTCTAAAATGTAAGTCACTTATTGCTTTACTGAACTTGTATAAAATGATTATTAAATGTGTTATCATGCTATCTGCAGAAAAACGGTACTCTTTGTGTGATATAGATTAAGTTAAATATATTAAATTGTATAAATATAAAAAACATACAGAAGCATTTTTGCTGTCTACAATTTAGAATGCCTGGAATTTTAAGTTTTAATAGACTAATAAATTGACCTGCGTGCACTCTGTGTGTGATTTGGTGATATAGCCTACTTGATAATGTCAGATCGCACATCATTACAACAACACTTACCATATTATCGCAGACGATATACTGTTTATTGCACACCCCAGACTCGACGTGAGTGGAAAATGAATCATCCACGGTTGTGCGCGCACTTGTTGGCACATGAGCATGAGTCTAACTTGCAGACGCCAGACCACTGATTCGTCAAACCTGCTTTCCTGCAGTCCGTGTTTTTCTGACTCTTGACTATTTTTGTAGTAAGTAACGAATATGCTTCCAGGAAATGTATCGGGGTAAAAGTATACATTTTAATTAGGAAATGTAGTGGAGTAAAAGTTGGCTGAAATATAAAAACTCAAGTAAAGTACAGATACTCCCAAAAAATACTTAAGTACAGTAACGAAGTATTATTACTTCGTCTTGATAATGTCAGATCGCACATCATTACAACAACACTTACCATATTATCGCAGTCGATGCTGTATATTGCAGACCCCAGACTCGACTTGGAAAATGAAACATCTGCGGATGTGCGCGCACTTGTTTGCACATGAGCATGAGTCTAACTTGCAGACGCCAGACCACTGATTCGTCAAACCTGCTTTCCTGCAGTCCGTGTTTTTCTGACTCTTGACTATTTTTGTAGTAAGTAACGAATATGCTTCCAGGAAATGTATCGGGGTAAAAGTATACATTTTAATTAGGAAATGTAGTGGAGTAAAAGTTGGCTGAAATATAAAAACTCAAGTAAAGTACAGATACTCCCAAAAAATACTTAAGTACATTACACCACTGAATGAGGGTACAGTCAGCAGGTACTGAATGAATGTCAGAAGATAATTTTTTGAAAAAGTTGTATTAAATTATACTTTCTAATATAATAATATGTATTAGAAAGTATGTATAATGTATATGTAATAATACATTCTTATAATAATACATTTCATATAAGTTATTTGGTTGTCGCATTGGCCAGTAGTATAATATTTATTGGCTATACATACAGTATATTGTGCTTTTTTATGTATTACTGTACACCCAAAGCGCTTTGCAATCATATCAGGTGGTCACAGGAATGTCTCAACCTGCTCTGAACTGGTTCAAATAGGTGAAATAGGTGGTGACTTGGTAACTGCAGAACCAAACCAGATTGAAATTACCAAAAAATACTTAAGTACAGTAACGAAGTATTATTACTTCGTTACATTACACCACTGAATGAGGGTACAGTCAGCAGGTACTGAATGAATGTCAGAAGATAATTTTTTGAAAAAGTTGTATTAAATTATACTTTCTAATATAATAATATGTATTAGAAAGTATGTATAATGTATATGTAATAATACATTCTTATAATAATACATTTCATATAAGTTATTTGGTTGTCGCATTGGCCAGTAGTATAATATTTATTGGCTATACATACAGTATATTGTGCTTTTTTATGTATTACTATACACCCAAAGCGCTTTGCAATCATATCAGGTGGTCACAGGAATGTCTCAACCTGCTCTGAACTGGTTCAAATAGGTGAAATAGGTGGTGACTTGGTAACTGCAGAACCAAACCAGATTGAAATTGGGAGGCGGAAGATAGCTTAAAATAAGTTTTGGGTGTGTGTTTGTGTAAATAAATTTATTTATTTTCCTTTGATCAGAATGTGATCAGTCATGTTTTTCTTGAATGTGAAGGTGCAAATGACTGACCACTGCATCATCCTCAGAGAATCAGTTAATCTTGGACAGGAAATGTAATGTGTGAAGATTCAGCTGACTAAGCCAGAATGACCAGACAACTGCCACTGAGTGTTGTGTTAAAATTTATACCCTACATGGGGGAGGAAAAAGAAAACAATTAATCTCTTGGGTCATATTTTATGTATGTCTGTATGTAAATTATGTGGGAATCAATACAGTAGATCCTGAAAAATTAAAGATTTAGTTGCCAAATTATTTTTAGTCATTAAATTATATCAACATTATGTTGACCAAAAGACTCAAACTGACCTAACCCTACCCCTACCCTTACCCCTAACCATAGCCCATTACAAAGACATCTCAAACAATGTCATCGTTGCATTAAAAATTACATAACTGAGCGAATGACACTTAATGACAGTTGTCATAAACATGCATAAAAACTTCATATTCATGACATGAGTCATGTCATGATTATGTATGTGTCATGTCATGATTATGAAGGTATCATGTCAGTCTTATGCACACCCCTTCAAGTAAAGTGTAACCAAATTTATACCCTACATGGGGGAGGAAAAAGAAAACAATTAATCTCTTGGGTCATATTTTATGTATGTCTGTATGTAAATTATGTGGGAATCAATACAGTAGATCCTGAAAAATGAAAGATTTAGTTGCCAAATTATTTTTAGTCATTAAATTATATCAACATTATGTTGACCAAAAGACTCAAACAAGACATTTTCAGAATTGTATTTCTACTTTTTCCTGAGTAGTAACTTGCTTTTTATTGCACAATTTGTAGTTTCCTTTAGCGATATGATAAAATCAAATGTGGGGCTACCAAAAGTACTTGAAAAGTATAATGCATTATTCAGAAAACTGAATTTCGGTCTCCTCTGTGTGTTTCAGGCAGTAGTTGGTAGTGAAGAGTGTGTCTCGGCTTTGCTGGTGCATGGAGCCTTCTCTCTGTGCAGGGACGTTTATGGCAGAAGCCCTTTGCACTTGGCTGCCTCTTGTGGTCACTCATGGCTGTTGCGTCCTTTACTTGATGCAGCATCACTCTCAGACCCCCTTGACTCTCTGCTAGACTACAGTGCCTACACACCTACTCACTGGGCTGCTTACCATGGTAAGATGCCTTTCCATTCCAGTACAGAAACATCAGCTGAGAATTATACTAATGAATTACAAATCTCTTGTTTGCAACATAAAAATAAGGAAACATTCTGTATTTTCTAAGGGCACAATGACTGTCTAGAAGCTTTACTTGAATATAGGCCATCAAGCTTTCAGGAAGGAAACCCCTTCACACCACTGCACTGTGCACTGTGAGTGATTGAGTGATCCTCACCTCATCTTCAAAATGTTTCTGTACACTTTCCACGATAAGATCCATTTACTTTTCCTTTTGCCACAGAATTGCTGGTCATGATGGTGCTGCTCGACTGCTTGTTGAAACTATGGGAACAAAAATCGTGAACCTCATAGATGGCAAAGGAAGGTATGTACAGTCATGGCCAAAAATATCGGCACCCCTGGTAAATATGATCAAAGAAGGCCGTGAAAATGAATCTGCATTGTTAATCCTTTTGATCTTTTATTAAAAAAATTCACAAAAATCTAACCTTTCATTTGATAATAAGAATTTAAAATGGGGGGGGGATATCATTATGAAATAAATGTTTTTCTCCAATACACATTGGCCACAATTAACGGCACCCTTTTATTCAATGCTTTTTGAAACCTCCATTTGCCAGTTTAACAGCTCTAAATTTTTTCCTATAATGCCTGATGAGGTTAGAGAGCACCTGACAAGAGATCAGAGACAATTCCTTCATCCAGAATCTCTCCAGACCCTAGACTCCCAGCTCCATGATGGTGCTCCTCCTCTTCAGTTCACCGCACTCATTTTCTATAGGGTTCAGGTCAGAGGACTGGAATGGCCATAGCAGAAGCTTGGTTTTGTGCCCAGTGACCCATTTTTGTGTTGTTTTTAAGGTTTGTTTTTGGATTATTGTCCGGTTGGAAGATCCAAACATGGTCCATTATAAGATTTCTAACAGAGTCAGTCACTTATTGATTTTTTATCAGTTGGTATTTGATAGAATCAAAGATGCCATGTGTCTAAACAAGATGTCCAGGACCTCCAGCAGAAATATAGGCCCAAAACATCAAAAATACAGCAGTATATTTCATTGTACACATGGGGTACTTTTTATCTCTGTGTTCACCAAACCCATCTTGAGTGTTTCATCTGACCATAGAAGCCAGTCCCATTTGAAGTTCCAGTCGTGTCTGATAACTGAATATGCTGGAGTTTGTTTTTGGATGAGCTAGGAGAATTTTTCTTGAAATCCTCCCAAACAACATGTGATGTAGGTGCTGTTTGACAATTTTCTTTTAAGGTTTTCTGACCCCGAGACTCAACTATTTTCTGCAATTCTCCAGCTGTGGTCTTTGGAGAGTCTTCAGCCACTCAACCTCTCCTCCTCACCGTGCATTAGGACGATATAGACACACGTCCTCTTCCAGGCAGATTTGTAACATTTTCTGTTGATTGGAAATTCTTAATTATTGCCCTGATGGTGGAAATGGGAATTTTCACTGCTCTAGCTCTTTTCTTAAAGCCACTTCACTAATTTGTGAAGCTCAATTATCTTTTGCTGCACATCAGAAATATATTCTTTGTTTTGTTTTTTTAATTTGGGCTTTGTTTTCCCTACCTATTTATATTTCTGTGGAACAGGAAGCCATGGCTGGATAATTTCATGTTCATAATCACCCTGGTATGCTCAAAATTGTGAATATGAATGGGAATATACTTCAGAGATATTTTACTCATAAGAATTTCTAGGGGTGCCAATAATTGTGTCCAACGTGTATTTGAGAAAAACATTTATTTCATAATGATATTTCCCCCCATTTAAATTCTTATTATCCAATGAAAGGTTAGATTTTTGTGATTTTTTTTTATAAAAGATCAAAAGGATTAACAATGCAGATTAATTTTCACAGCCTCCTTTGATCATATTTTCCAAGGGTGCCTATATTTTTGGCCATGGCTGTATGTCTGTTGTCCACTTAAAATCTCTTTCCAAACGTAGCAAGCGAACAAAACAACAAATTTGGACAAAATAAGAGGCTCCCTTTTTAAAAGCTGATTTCAAAAAGCCGCCAATATTTCAGAATTATTATTGTTGTTGTTATTTTATCTGCAGGACTCCCTTACATGCATCTGCGTATGCGGGAAATGTCGCAGCCCTGAAGTTGGCATTGAGCTGCGGCTCAGATGTAAACTCAGTCGATTATACAGGGCACTCTGCATTAATGGTTGCTGCTGAGAATGGGCATACTTCTGCTGTGGGTTTGTATTGTCAAAAGAGCTTTATATCATGTAGAATTGTTGCATACATGTACAGTATATAACACTGGTTTTAAAAGATGTAGTACATGGGTTATCTTTATCTTAGTGATCAGCTCAGACTTTTTTGGTTGCAGATATCTTGCTTCATCAGGCCGGCGCAGACCTCTCGCTGCTGGACATCAACAGGAACTCAGCACTTCATATCGCCTGTAGAAGAGTAATTACCCCATCACTCATAGTGGCCTATTAAACAGCATGCTGGATGCGATGAGTTTCCATTATAAATGATCATCACGTTTAATTCAACAGAGTCATGAAATGTGTGCTCTTCTCATTCTGGCGGAGATTGACGACCCAACTCTCATCAATACCACAAACACTGCACTTCAAACGTGAGCATTCACATCAGCATAGGTGTATATGCATCGATTATTTGGTTGTTTTCATAAGTTTTTCTATCTACGTACCCTTAGACCTCTACATATTGCTGCAAGAAATGGTCTTGCCACTGTGGTTGAGGTGCTGCTTACTCGAGGTGCAACGGTTCTGGCCATTGATCAAGATGGTGAGTTTCTCTATGCCCATCACATTGCCAAGAGAGAGCCAAAACTATTAACTAATAGTCATCTACCAATAACATTGACTAGTAGGTACAGTAGAATTTTTGTGTGGAGACACATAAAAAACCAACTGCTCACCAACTGCTAGTTTAATAATCTCTTCAATGATTTTCTGATTCATCGTGTCATAACATGGTGTGCCATTTTAAAGTGACAAGTACTAAATTTTCTTGCATGTTAATGTAAGCTTTTGTCTCGACTGTGACAAGCAACTACATTCTGTTAGTCACTTTGTTTCTGAACTGCCACGTTAGCTTAGGTAGCCCTTCAAACAGTGGAATCCCATTGGCCCAAAATCCAATTTTGCATATCAAGCAGCATTTTTGCTTTTAGTGTGGACAGAAAAATGCTTACAGATAAGATTAATGTAAACTTGTCACATTGCCTTCTTAGGATACAACTTAAACTAGTAGAATAATGTGTATTTAGTCTGTCTTCTTTAAATACAGTGTCAGTGTTCAGTAGAAACTAACTGAAAGTAACACAGATACTAACTTAATTACATTTTATCAGCAGTGTGACAGTAACTCAGCTGTTTTATTTCTAGTAATAAGAGCCAATGAGTGTCGATGTATTGTGAAAAAATGCTACTTTGCTGGTATCTCTGACACATTTGACTGATTTGACATTTTAGGACATATTCCAGCTTTGGCATGCGCACCGAACAAAGATGTGGCAGACTGCTTGGCTCTTATAATTTCCACAATGATGCCTTTTTCTGCTGGCACCAGCTGCGGCATCAGTCTGATGAAGCACTGTGGCATTGCTGCATCCCATCAGCCCGTGTCCAAAACCGTGCCTATACAACTGATTACAGAGGAACCATAGAGCTGAGTGGACACCAAACAATATACTGAATACTCTTTTGACTTTGAACTCCTGTTATCTATTCAGAAGGTATTAGAATGTAATTTTTATTGTACAATATTACACAATGCTACTGTTTTAGCATCATGCAGTATATACTGTGACATATTCATTTGTAATACAGTACATCTTTAACTGCACCATTCCATTATGTGCCGAATTCCTCCTTTATATGTCGCCTTAGAAAGTAACTACAATATCTGCTACTGTTTTAGCATCATATAGTATAAATGGATGGAGAGAAATGTATTAATTTGTGTTTGCATGTGTGGGTACTCTAAATATGAATTTATCATTTCACTTTTATCTCAGCTTATTACTGATACATTTACCAGCTTTCTTTGGACACTTTTTCTGTATTTTTGAAGAGGCAAATTGCGAAAAATAAAAGCATAAAATAAACAATGTTTAGTCACCCTGCAAACTACAAGACGTGATTCCATCAAAATAAATGTTTCTCACTCACAGATTACGCTTTTAGGTTTTTGTATATTTGGAATCTTATTTTACAGGCATAAATACTGAAATTCATAACACTTTTAGCTCTTTAATTACCTAAACAAACTAAATTACACAAATGTACACACAATTTGTGTCACAGTATCACTCTTGCCATTCATGTGTTTGCTGTAACACTAAGGTAGCACTGTGCTTTTATTTGTTTCAATCCTCATTTTTCGTTAGTAAACAGTTCTACATTTACATTTACATTTAGTAATTTAGCAGACGCTTTTATCCAAAGCGACTTACAAATGAGGACAATAAAAGCAGTCAAAACTAACAAAAGAGCAACAATATATAAGTGCAAATGACAAGTGTCGGTTAGCCTAACGCAGTACACGTAGCAAGGTGTGTGTGTGTATATATATATATACACACACACACACACACACACATACAAAGAAAAACAAGTAGAATAGAAAAAATAGAAAGCTAGTGTTTGTTTGTTTTTTGTTGTTTTTTTAAAATAAATAAATAAATAAAAACAAAAAAGATATAAATATAGATAAAGTAGAATTAAAATAGAATAGAAAGTGTTAGAGTTAGAGGGTCAAATAAAAGTGGAACAGATGTGTTTTTAGTCGTTTCTTGAAGATGACTAAGGACTCAGCTGCTTGATTTGGGCAGGTCATTCCACCAGGAGGGAACAGTTAATGAAAAAGTCAGTGAAAGTGATTTTGTGCCTCTTTGAGATGGCACAATAATACGCTGTTCACTTGCAGAAC